CATATCACCAAGTCTCCTCTTTCGAATGGTGAAAATTGAAGCTCTTTAGCTTTTTCCTATCGAAAGTTATTTAAAAAACAGTCATATACCATTCTTTTTTTGGATGGACAATAGTAAGTGAGTGGATGTAAAACATTTTTTTATACAGTAACGTTTAATTTTAGAATCAAACAGCTTAAATTTTTTCACGCCGATTTTTTATAAAAATAAGTTAGAGACTTTAATCATCTCTTGTAACTGTTACGGTTTATCAAGACAGAAAAATATTTTCAAAAAATATGGGACAAAGAGAAAAACCCGTAAATTTTTTTCGTGGGGCCAACGGGTCTGGGACAACATAACTTGCTCACGGGCTTGGGGCAACAGAAAAAAGTTTGTTCCACATGACTCTACTTACAAGAAATAAAGTATGCCAATTATGTGTTCTATTCGATGAAGAATCAGATGTTGCTTTAACATCCGCTTTTCGATAATCAGGTAATTTTGATGCTTGAAATCTAGAAGAGAAAAATAAATTTTTATTCTTACTTAAAAAAATGTTTCTATTTTATTTTAATAAATTCGTACCGAACCTGTCTCAAATATTCTTCACCAGTCATTGGCATTTTATTTAAATCAATATTATTTAATCCTTCATTATCCATGCAAGGTAATGCTGGTTTAAAACCATAATCAGATTCATCGATATCATCATCATCATCAAGAATTTTATTCAACGGTATTTTATGCATATTAATCTAGAAAAAAAAAAATTTTAAATTCTTATCTTTTAGCTCCAATGTAGATTTTCTATGTTCAACTTAATAATATGTGTGAAACAAGAGATTAATTGAAAATTTTAATATTAATTATTATCTTTATAAGATAATAATAAATTTAAAAAAGAAAAAAAAATGTAAAATTTATATAAGAGTTGATTGTAACTTGTTTCACGTCACTAAATCAATATTTGACGAACACTATTTATTCTATCAATAATTTGAAAAAATTGTTTTCTTTTTTTTCTTTTTCTATTATTTGAATAATGTGATGTGACGATACATCATTTAAAATTAAATGTAGTTAAATTTCAGTTATCGATTATCAATTTCATTATTTTTGTATTCTATTTGATAAACGTGAATACCTAAAACATTTTCTTCAATAGAATATTTAGCATATGATTTTTACTTTTTTATTTTTAATGTAATTTTTTTGTAATAAATCACTATTTTAACTATAATAAATATTCATTTCTGTGATTACTATATAGTTCATCATTAATATTACATAAATAATTCATCAATAATTCATCAATTCTTTCTTATATCACAATTTTACAAATGAATATCTTTCATAAGATAATTTATTGACAGTATGTTGGTCAACTTTATTTAACTGTGATTTATAAATAATTTTTCAACTTTATTCAAATTATTTGAAGATATTTTGCATAATTTATAATCATTTTTTTTTAATTATGGTATGTGTCGAACAGAAGTTTAAGAAGAGATTTGACCTATATTTAGCGTATTTATCAATTAAGAAACGAATGTCATTGTCCGATGAGACAAAATGATCTTTTCTTTTTAACAACAGATTCGAATAATAAATCGTCTGCTTATATCTTATATGCAAATCGTAAATGATGGATGCTTAACGAAACGATCAATGCAAGAGACAAAAATGAGTCGTACATTATAAAGTGCCGACTGTGATTTCATTTCTTCAGAGATAATAAATTGTTTAGACTATTATTGTACAGTACTCTTCACTATGTTTATCAAATTGAATAACACAAAAATAAGCAAAGTGCATCTAGAACAAAAAAAAAAGGGATTTAATTTTTACCGAACAATATCATTGTATGAATATATCTACTTATAGCATTGGTTAACGTTATCAGCAGATAAAGAATGTAGTAGGATGATCAAAATCGATCGTTTTCACATATATCATAGCACTTTCACTTTGCTATCCTGGCTGTTTATCTTTTTGTTTCAACACTGTTTAAAACCTCAGTTTTTTCCATTTGAATACTTACTCAATAGCACTATGAAGGCTATAAATTGAAATTAAACATTTATTAGTATTTTTCAACTAGTCTAATGTTATTATTTTTTATTTTATCATTTTTCCTCTTGTATTTTTTTTTTCAAAACAAATATTATTCATGAAGAGATGCAAAAATATATCTAGAGTGCAAATGAAAGAACTTACACGAAAAAACACATGAAATAGACAAAAAGAATAAAAAATTTTAACTTTCAAAGACAAACAGACAAGAAAAATAGACATCTTAAATTGACAACAAGAAAAATTAGCCTAGTGGAAAAAAAAAATCGTAAAATAACAAAAATTTCATAATCGACATTTTGATAGAAGCAAATCAAAATGAAACACACATCAGAACACAAAATAATACTAATAGCATACCCACATATACAATTTGTCTATATATTTCATAAAGAAAAAAATAAATAAAGTAGCACATTCCTGAACGGATGGATAATACAATGTTTGTTGAGGCATGATACTGTGTATATATATCTGTAAACTAATTCCAGATCTATGAATGATGGACATAACAAAAGCAAAATGCATAGCTTTATGCAATAAATCGGGTTTTATAAAAAAAAAATGACGAAATATTCATTTAGTGTTCAACTCTTCTCAGCTTCAATTTTATCATAAGCTTCATTACGTTCTGTTTCATTATCAAATCTTAAGATAATAATTACCACTTGATCAGCTGCAATTTCCGACATTGCTGGATTAAGCATACACCAAAATGTTATATCTTTTGTTGAATTTTTTTTCATTTCAATGTTTTTCGACCATTGAATATTTAAAAATAATCGACCTAAATTGAGAAAAAGTATGTTGACTCTTGTAATTTAAGTGGCCGTTAAAATACACACCCAATGAATCATCGGATCGAATAATCATTTGTCGTTTAGAACTACTTTCAATTTCTTTCACATGAACTTGTACTTGTCCACGTTTGATTAACTTATCACCTTTTTTTACTGCCATACGACATCTATAAGGAACAGAATTATTGTAAATAAACATTAATAGTTCAACCGTTTATTAAACTAGAACAGTTATAGCTTGAGAAGAGAAAAAGTCGTATAAGTGAATTTTTAATATTCATTTTGATAAAATTTTAAATAAACCATTTTCATCTAATTACAGAGAATTCAAATGAATTTTGGCATAATTATTTATATAAGTACCTGTTGCGAGAAAGTTGCAAACTTTGTGTCAAAAACACGCAATTTTTTGGACACAAAGTTAGTAAATTCCCCGCAGTAGGTAGGGAAAGAAATGGGAAACTGGTTTATTAACAAAGAATTGTGCATACTTATAACTAATTTTGGCATCTAGTTCATATTTCACTTGTTCGGGTTGTGGCGGTTCACTCGATTCTAAATAAAAAGAAAAAGAAAACATTTGCAAGATATGCAAATCGATATAGGAGTGTACGAAAATGTGATTTGTTTTACCTTCTTCATTTTCTTCGTTGGATTTGGGGTAGAATGATGAACTTGATACAGGAAAAGGAAATATACCAGAATTGGCTGGTGAATCTTTTGCTGTTGTTGCTGTAGTTGAGAATAATACTGAAGGCTGGCTTCCAAACGGTCCTTTCAGAAAAAAGAGGAACGTTAAAAATTTTTTAAGAGGAGCGTTGGGTAAAAAAGTGGAAAAGAGGCATTTTTGAGTAGAGGCATTTGCGGCCAAAGAGGTTTTTGGCCGCAAAACGGTACTGACAATGTTGTGTACACGTCAAAGTGGCTTAAGACTCTCAAAGAAAAGATTTCATCCTGCTTAAAGTATTTTTTTCCGTGTTTCATGAGTAAAAAACTAAGAAAAATACAGCAAAAAGGAGTTATTCTAGTTTAACACAGAAACATATCTGACTATTCAAATAGCATCGCTAATGAATGTGATATTTTCTTTCAACTCTCTGATTTTTTCACGGTGTTTATCTTTCTTCATATGCTGTACGATCGACAATCTAATTCGCCGGTTTTACAAAATGTACATACGAATATTGATTCCTTAGCACCTTGCTTTAACCATAGTCTCACAGGGACTTCATCTACTGTTTTCTGTAACCGCGAGTGATTTCATATGACGATATTGATAAAAAAATATATCTGAAACTACTTTCAGATCTAAAAATAGCGTGAACTCTGGTGTTTTTGCTAAAAAATCCCAGAAAAAGAGAGATCTTGGATTAAAGAGGAAAAAGTGGATCATTCACAAGCCAGTACTGAAGGAACTTTGAAATTGAAGGAAGGTGATTCACTAATGACTGGTATAATTCCTGCTGACGTTGAAGTGGGTGACTTTGATATTAAACTAAATAAGGGACTCTGGCTACCTGTTGTAGATGTAGTACTTGTCGTAGCCGTTGTCGGTGATGATCGTTGAAATATGGAAGATGATGGTGAAGTGAATTGAACTTGCGGAAATGCTGGAAATTCCTTTCTAGTACTTTTATCTGTTGACGTTGGAGAACTTGAAATCGTGGACGATGTTTGTTCTTGTTGTTTGCGTGAGCCACTATCCAAATTGATACGATTTGTATTCGAGTCTTTTAACCATGTTGATGTTTCAGGTACTGGATTTGTACTCCAGAACGATTTACTAGTATCAATTGTAGTTTGCTTCGTGGTCTGTTGTGACAAAGTGGAAGTGGGTAACGCAAGATTGGTTTGGATAACTGATGTTGTTGAGACAGAAGAAGATTGTACTTTCGAAATTGCCGACGAACTGGTGGAAGTGAGTGAGCAACTTTTATCAAATAAACGTTCAAAATCGTTACGAGCCAAAGCTAAACACAACGAATAAAATATGAAAGAAAAAATTGAAATTGATTAGTTCGTTAAGTTACCTTCATAAAGGTTGATAGTTTCTTGAACAGATTCAACAAAACCTATAATAAGAAGATTACAGATCAAATTACAGCAGACAAATGCTGCAAGAATAAATGGTTTCATTTAGCAGACAATCCCGCTGTCGTGAGACAATCAAAACCGTAAAATTGGTTTCCACTAACCGGTATGTCGCTGTTGTTTTAATCTTGTCAATAGCCATGGTGAATATTTCAGTAATTCTTCTTCGTATTGAAAATATTTTTTGACATAATCTAGACAGTTTGTAACAAGTATACTATACGGCTCATTGCCAAATTGTGCTGTTATTGTGGACGTGAATTGACGATTTAATTCTAGTAAACGAGATGGATAATGTTCAACTGTTTTTTTATTGTAATCATATGTGACCTACGATAGGAAGGATAGATAAGCGCTTGTTTCTTGTCTGAAACGGCAAATATCACTCGATATTACGTTCTGTCGTTGATTCGGTACGACTGAATTTCTTTTTGCTTGTGGTAAATCATCCTCTTCATCCGATTCAGCTGTTTCCTGGAATGAAAACGAATTAAAATTGAACAAGATTCAATACAAATATATTATCCTCACTTACTTTTCTTTTAGACATATTTCTTTTTTTACATCTACAAAATGCAAAAAAATGCTTATCCTGTAATAGCCCAGAATAACTAATACTGATAGAGAAAAGTTAACTCTAAAAACTCTAAAAATAATGAAATATTTTATTTTCTGAATTTGAAGAGATTCAATTCCACCCTTTAAACTTCACACTTTTCTTCATACACTTTCTTCATGAAGAAGACTTTCATGCTGAAAAAACTTAAATATAACAGGAAGAAACTGCAGATTTAAAGACGTAAAAACATATTGAGAATTTGCAAAAAACTATAAAAAATACGAAACGACAGTTTGTTTCGAAAAACTTCTTGTCATCTGAAGAAAGAAAACACACATACCTTGAATTGTTGAAGCTATTCGAAGAGGAAAAAGAGCAAGCTGCTTTTCCGATATTGAACGGAGACCGGCATGTAGATGATATAATACACGATTCTAAACTCGTGTGAAACTAATTACATTACATTTGTTTATCTCGACTATCATTCTGTTAAGCAGCGGCCATTTTTTGAATTCTAAGTGACATAAGAATCAATCGTATGCTCTTAGACTCTACCAAAATATTCTTGTTAACTAGATCCCATCATCTATTTTTACAGCATTGCAATACTCTCACGTAGAGTTGTAACTGTTCTGTTAAAAGAAATTTTCAACATCTTTGACATTTCTGAATTGACAGTTGCGCCATCGTACACAGTGAGTTCATTATTGTTATCTACGAGATGTCGATAGAAGAGTTCAATTGATGATTCAATAACTTCACATATATGTTCAACAATAATCCCATAACTTTTCATGTGTATACTGTGTAAGTTTGTCCCACCATTCAATCGGTGTGCCTTGTGATGACGTTGTGACATTTTGATGTGATCAAAATGGAATATTTTTGAATTCAATATTATCAAAAATCAAATGAAATAATTCTTTTATTTTAGAGAAATAGGAGACACTGTTGAAAAACACAATCACCAATCCTATAACTGATTCTAAAACTTTTGATTTCGCAAAAATTTTCACCGTACGATAGTTCTTTCTTTGATCACCTAATTCTGTCAGTTTCACGGCAATACAAGGCTGAATATAAATTAAGCTAACTTTTGGTTGCAAGCTAAGTGGATCGTAAAGTTGCGCCCTCTATTCAATTTAGCTTTTACCATCAAATTCTCGTGAACGGCTGCATATTCAATAAAGACGGTTGATTCTGTACCATAGCTTTTTTCTACGTAGCTACATTAGTATTTATCCTCTATTTTTCCCATCTTTTGATTGGCTTGGTGTATGAAATACCTGACAGTTATGTCTCCATGTTTTGCGGAGACACGGGTACAACTAAGTAAAGTTTCTATACTGTTTCAATCCTTAAACTCAAAATAATTAGTTTTCCGCACATCTTTTGGGTTTTGCCGTTGTTATGTGAGCAAAAAGTGACGGTGTTTTGAGGGGGTTGAGAAGGGTTGATGACCAGTTTAGTTAAGCCAGATGATCCAATCGATCCTGAAGGTGGGAGCCATGGGCAGTTGCCTAGATTTTATTCATATCCTAACGTAGACAAGAAAGTTAGTTGCAATTCGGATATATTACTTCTGGTTCTAATGTTAGTTGTCTTCTTTATTTTGTTATTTTTTATTACTCTTTTGGTGTTGTTTGGATTGAGTCATTGTTATTACAGATCGGTGACCTTTGATGACACTCAGTTTTCGTGAATGAAACAGTCTTAGTCTTAGTCTTATACCCTTACGAATCCCACCTATGTTGGGTAGGGCCTACAGAACTGGGCCTATCCTTCTTTCCTCTTGAAATTCTATAATAATGATAATAATAATTCGTTTTCGGAAAATGAGAATCATCAAAAATCCTCGAGCCATAATGACATTGAGCGATTAGAAATATAGAAAGCCAGAATATAAAACAATCAGATAAATAAACAATAAGAAAACAACTAGCATGGATTTTTAACCATCGACATGGTTGAATTTTACTGTAAAAGATGACTAGATAAAGCTTTTTTGAATGCAGTTAATGAAGGAAAACGAATAACTGACTTCGGATGATGTTTCAATCGAGGCTAATTGGATATGAGAAGAAAGAGAAAAATGCTTATAGAGAAAACCGATTTACACAAGATGAAATGCTAACATAGAATGGCTCTCTGTAAATGTACGTTTGTTTATTTGACTTTAGATCTATTTCCATCCTTAACGTGAAGTATCAAAAATAAAAAATGGTTCGATATTCTCGTAAGTAACATTCTTTCCATAAAAAGTCTAACTTCTCTTTATCATCAAGAATAAAATTGATCAATGTTTAATCTCTCATTCAGGTGCCGCTGAAAATCCGGCTAAATCATGCAAAGCACGTGGAGCATATTTGCGTGTTCATTTCAAAAACACGCGTGAAACGGCTCATGCTATTAAAAAAATGTCGCTACGTCGTGCTATGCGTTATTTGAAAAATGTCGTTGTACAAAAAGAAATTGTACCATTTAGGCGTTACAATGGCGGTGTTGGGCGTAAAGCACAAGCAAAACAATTCAAAACATCTCAAGGTCGTTGGCCAAAAAAATCATGTGAAATATTATTACAATTATTGAAAAACGCTGAAAGTAATGCCGAAGTCAAAGGTTTAGACGTTGATCATCTTGTTGTTGAACATATACAAGTAAATCGTGCACCAAAAATACGTCGTCGTACATATCGTGCACATGGTCGTATCAATCCGTATCAATCAAGTCCGTGTCATGTTGAATTAATTTTAAGTGAAAAAGAAAATATTATGTCACATACAACAGAAGATGATCAACCACAAAAGAAAAAAGAATCGAAAAAGAAACTTAAACGACAAAAAATGATGGCCAAAGAATAAATGAAATAAGGAAGGGGAAAGATCAAAAATGGAAATATCTGTATTGTTTACACTGTTGTTGTTTTTATTTCCGTTATTTTTTCATACGGGATTGTATTTATTTCCAGTAAAAAGAAAACATATTGAACAATAAAGCAAAAGATTCGAATGAATATCATAACACGTTATTTGTGTCTAAGGTGGAGTTTTACTTAGAAAACTTGATACATTTACGGCATTTAGTTACATAATCTTGAAGATGGAATTCTGCAAGACAAATTTTTTTGTTATTCTAAGCTAAAATTCTTAAATTCGAACCCGTGAAGGAGAAATTTTGTCCTTGTAATGCTTTAATTGTTACAAGATGTGCGTGTGTGCTTAGGTGAGAATTGAAGACAGCATTGCTTCGTACAAGAACTTGTTGTGAGCCAAACTTCAGCTTATTATTTCCTCTTAAATTCAACTTATTCTTTGAAAAATTCCCATGACAAAGTATAAGCCTAATTTCTTTAATTTTAAACTAAGTTCTTCTAAATTAAGTTCTAAGTTCTAGAGTATGTTTTACGGCTACTCACTAGATCAGAATCAAAACGAAAGAATTATAAACCGAGTTGGAGATGTGAGAACAACCTCTCAAGTTTAAATTTAAATTATTTTACCTCTCACGATTACTTTTTATTAGTTATTACAATATTATGATTCTGGTCTGATGAATTATAGAAATTAAACGTTTAAACTGAGTGTAAGTTACATAGTTTTGATTTTAAAGCGCATCTAGCACAGTATGAAAGACTTTTTGAATCTTATTAAAAAACATGATTTATATGCAATAATTTAACTTTTAAACAACATTATTGTTCTAAAACGTTTAGCGGTTGGAATAAACTTTATTTCTAAAGAGAAAAAAATAGAATAGAGAATCAACAAGAACTGAAATCATTTAGTTTTTCTAAAATATAGAACAGAGTTTTCTCTTGTTTTAGATTACATTTAGTTCATTGACCATCTATTCTATGTCCAAGTTTGCTCGTGCAACAGGACTGTTTAGTCCTGTTCGTCCTAAAAATCAACATTCGTTGGAAAATTTAAAGTATGTTCAGACGTTTCATTCACTGTATTTACAATCAAAAAACATTTTCTCTATATTTTGTCAGATATTTGTATGATTTACTACAACGAAATCAAACGGTATCTGATACTAATCGAGATTTATTAATTGACACATTATGGCGTATATCAGAAATATTAATATGGGGTGATCAAAATGATAGTTCTGTATTTGAGTATGTTATCACGTTTCATATTTAATAATTAAAATTTTCTCTTATCAATATAAAAAAAAACTTACATTGTATTTTAGTTTCTTTTTGGAAAAAGGCATGCTCAATTATTTTTTGAACTATATGCGTCAAAAACATGGCCGATATATTTGTGTTCAATTGTTACAGACATTAAATATATTATTTGAAAATATTCGTCATGAAACATCTCTATGTATGTAAAATTTGTTGTGTATTCAATATCTACAATTATCAATAGTATATTTTCTTTAATTTAGACTATTTATTATCGAATAATCATATCAATAATATAATTATGCATAAATTTGATTTTGCTGATGAAGAAATTACAGCCTATTACATATCATTTCTTAAAACATTGTCGTTAAAACTCAATACATCTTCAATTAATTTTTTTTATAACGAGGTAAATAGAAACAAGTTAGTTTTTCATTACTATTCATCTATCTTCTTTTTCTTTTAGCGTAACAATGATTTTCCATTATATGTTGAAGCAATCAAATTTTTTAATCATCCAGAAACAATGATTCGTATTGCTGTTCGTACATTAACACTCAACGTATACAAAGGTAACTACACAAAAAAACAAAAATTTGAACAATTAATTAATGTTGTGCTTCATTTTTTTTTTTTTTATGTTCAGTTCCCGATCATGCAATGCATCGTTTTATATTAGATCGTACAGCAACACAATATTTTTCAAATTTTGTATGGTTTATACGAAATCATATAATTGATTTTGATAATTTAATACGAAACAATCGCGAGTAATCTACTTGTGAATTGATGAATAAAATGATATCTAGTGGTATTTTGTTTTCTTTGTAGTGTTAACAATCGTGGTTATTTGACATGTGGACTTGAAGAATATCTCGATCATTTACATTATTTACAAGACATATTCTTATTAAACGTTGATAGTTTAAATGTTGTATTAAAAAACCAATTAATGAATCGTTTACTTATACCTGTATACGTCTTTTCGTTGATTAAACGAGATAAATTTTGTAGCTTGAAGGTAAAAGTCTTTTTTTTTTGTTAAGGCTTGTATCATTTAGATACTAGTTATTCTTTATTCAGGATCCTCGCGTTACGATCGATCAAACATTGGCCTTTTTCCTTCTTGCAGATGTAAGTAGAACAGAAATAAAAATATTAAAATCAAATAAGACGCGTTGTTTTATCATTTTAGATATTTCTTGTTATTCAATATATGCCGATTGTTGAACAATTAGCTAGTATTATTTTATCGGCTGATATTGAGACAGTCGAAGCGATACAGAGAAGATTTGGCGAACAGGTATTTAACTTCTTTTTTTTTTTGTTCTATGCGAATTAATAACGCGATGATTTTGTTTATTGTCTTTAAATATTTGTAATATGGTATTATATTATACATTGATAATTTATTTAGGTAGTGTATACAACACCTCCTGTTCCTCTTGATGTCTGTCTGACACAGTCAGATTCTAAAGAAAAATTGAGTCGACAATCTCCGGCAGGTATTATTTAGTCATTTTTTACTGTTTTTACGTCAACTAGATTTTCTTCTTTTCCTGGTTGCAGATGGTGTTTTATTAAACGTTGTCGATATTGATAATAATAATATTTTACGATGTTCTGAGAATGATAAAAATACAAGTACAAATTTCTCTCCATCTCCACCACTCTCGTCAAGTTCATCATCCATAAGTCGAGATCATTCGCCTCAAAAATTGAGTACATCTCTTACACCATCCTCGAATTCATCAGTAACACCTAAAACAGAATCCTTATTTGTATCAAATTGGACAGATGATGAAAAATGTAAACGACAATTGACGCGTACATCATTCAACGATTTACAGTTAGCACAACGGTAAATTATAATTATTAAATTATTTTTTAAAAGTTAATAATCATTTTCTTTTACTTTTTAGACCATATTTTGAAGCATTGATCAATGCACTTAATTGTATAGACAATGATCAACAATGTTTTTATGCTCTCAGTTTAATATATACAATGTGTAATAATCCATGTAAGTAGAAAATAAAAATTTTATAAATAAAAATTAGTAATACAGCAGCATATTTAAAATTTATTCTATTAATTTTTAATTTTCTTAAAATTTTCTTAAATTTTTAAAATTAAAAAATTTTTAAAAAATTAATTTTCTTAAATTTTTATCATATTTTGATTAAACTGTAAGTTCGTCTGATTTCCCATTGATTACGTAAAAGAGTTCATTTTCTTACGATTTCAATTTTTCTTCAATTTGTTTAGTTGTTGATAGTATTATTTTGGAATCTGTTGGTTTAACAATGAAATCGAAAGTAAAAAATTGTTTTGTTCGAAAAATGCAGAAGAAAAGAGAATTTATAATATTTATTTTTTATTTTAGGAAAAACAATTTTATAACAGTATTATAATGGATCAATTATGTGAAATTCTTAAATTGTCAACAATGCCAGGTAAAATATTATTATTGTCCAAATAATTATAGAATAATAAATTAAATCTATTTTAGATTCAAAGATTCGTCTTGTTACATTGGATTTAACTATTAAAATATTGAAAAATTTTGTTTACGATGAACAGAAATGTACATCATCATTATCCGATCATCATTTAGCTTGTGTTGAACAAGCACATGAACAAGCAACAGAAGATTTAAGACGACATTATAAAGTAATAAAATTAATAAAATTTTTAAAAAACACTATTTTTTTATCCTATACTATATATTGTATGTTTATTTATTTTCTAGCATCAAGAAATGTTTTTAGATTTATTTGAAGATGAATATCGTCAAATTCAAATTAATCCTATTCGACTTGAATATGTACTAAAAGATGCTTGTATGTTATTACCGCCTACGACAACACCATTGAGTGGAATTGAATTTACAAAACGTTTACCATCGGGTGATATTGAACGAGCGAGAAGAGTAAGAATAATTAATTCGATTATATACAAATTTATTTTATTTTTCATTTATAGTCAATTCGTATATTTTTTTTGTTACGTTCGTTATCATTAGACTTAAGTTTAACAACTGAAACTCTATTACCATTAGTACGTCAAGAAAGTTTAGTAAAAGAAAATGATGTACTCGATTTAAGTATGTACACAGTGAAATAAATGATATTTATCTTATAAAATTATTTTAATTTTTAGACAATAGTGATTTGATTGCATGCACTGTTCATATGAAAGATAAGTAAGTCGAACTCGTTTTTTTCTCGATTGAAGAATAACTGTTGAATTATTATTCTACATTAGAAAAGATCGTCGATTTCTCGTCACAGATCCACTGCAATTTATTTTGATTGAACCTGATATAAAACGTTTAGGTTGGGGTATTGTTAAATTTTGTGATCTGATGCAGGTAAATAATTTTTTGTTTTAATTCGTTCTTGTTTGTTAATCGAGACTACCATTTTAGGATGTAGAAGTGACCGGTGATAAAGAAGATAGTCGATCATTACATATTACAATTCATAAACCTGCAAATAATGTTTATGTTAAATCAAATCCATCTGCTTTGAATGCAAAATTTACATTTGATGACCATATTCGTTGTATGACTGCAAAACAAAATTTAACAAAAGGACGTCAACGGTAAACCGAAAATCATGCATGACTTTCTAAAAAACTCAGTATTCAATTTGTTTTAGAGCACGTGCCACAAAAATGCAAACAATTGCGCAAATCTTGGAAATTCCAGATTTATCGCCAAATATAAATCAATCTTTTCTTAATCCTGCAATGGGTGCAACATTTTCTCAAACAATGTTAGGTGAGTATTTTACTTTTATATAAAAGCTACTATTTCATTATTGATTTGAAAATAGGGCTGGCTGTTTACCATTACTGTTACCAGTAATAAGTAACGAAACTGTTACTTGTTACTAGTAATTAGTAACATCAGATGCTAGTTTGTTACTTTTGGTAAAGTAACAAAGAACAAATTTTTTTTAGAAAACAGGTGGTTTTGAAATTTTAGAAAAACTTTTGAATCGCATTAGATGTCATTTAAATTATGACTCTTCCCTTAACGTGATGTATAGCTAACAAATATTTCCAGATACTTCTATATCAGTAGGGGTGACTCTTTACTTACCACTCAGTAAAGTAACATCAAGTAATAAGTAATGAACCACCCCTATTTGAAAACATAAAACTGTTCTATACTTTTCTACTCAATCTTTAGTCATGAAACACTGAAACGGGTTGAGTCTGGTCAGAAAAAATTTGTTTTTCGAACCACAGTCGAATATGAAAAATTCCACTAGAGATAATTAAATTCTATGAGAAAATGAAGATCATTCACTGTCTGATGTTTTTCTTTTCTCCTACGTATCGAATGAACAAGATGATAAAGAAAGTATGTTAGAAGAAATAATTGACCGAGAAATAGAAATACAAGTGTAAAAGAAATTTTGTTTTGAAAATTGGATCAAAATCAAGCGTCAACGAAAACTTTTTCACCGTTGTAGGATTCATAGTTCCAATAACTTTTTATACTTACAATGTTTCCCGATCCAGTTCGATCACTATCCAGTCATTGATATTTGAATGTGATCACGTTTTCTTATTATTTCTTATGATAACGTTTAATTCTTACACATTGTGTTTTTGTTGTCAGTATCAACTTTTTACATATTGGAAAGCGAATAATTCATTTAATTCAGTTAAAATGATGTTACTGATGGTGCTGTTGTTTGCAGATTTCTCGTGGATAATCATGTACCATCGATGTTAAAAGTATTGAATGTTGTTGATGCTCTTGTTATTTGATAATGATTTTATTTTGCTAATATTGGATGAGATTGTGTTTGTCATGCAATGTGCAATCCTCTGTTGATTTAATATGACGAACAACTTATATTATTGTCTTTGGCAGTATCTTTTCCTATTTGTTTATCTTTGCCTGATAAATCATCTTCGAAAATATATTTGATAATGTTTATAACAATATGCATATGAGAAATATTAGAAGAAGAAAAAAATACAGTACACAATACTACAAGCATCCTGTGAACAATTGTTTATGTAGTTTTCGTAATGATGCTGGTCGAATACGTTGACTGATATTAAATAAAAATAGGAAAAAAGCTAGAAGTCTATCCATCTTTAAAAATCGGTATGATATAACAAGTAGTTCATTTGACTATGTTGTCTATTCATTATCTCATTGATAACATAATAAATTTAAGATCTATTTGTCTATCATATCAATAAGAAATAAACATTTTTGAAATTTTGATCACTTTCTTTAGTTATCGTCTCATTTTTATATGCTAAGTACATATCAAATTTTATTATGTTTTTTCTATTTAGGATTTCCATCTTCCAGTTTGACAGGTCAACCTGGATTATTCAATCATCCAGGTAATTAAATATTTACTTGAAAGAGTACTAGCTAATTTCTATTTAGCGTAATTGCCTTTTTGTCTTTGAATTTGCGTTTATATGAGCGATGTTTCTTCTTATAGGTGTAGATTCTGCAGATCTAAACACAAGTATAAATATACTCACTTATTGTTATTTTGATGTTGTCTCTTATGTGAGCATTTATATCCCTTAAAAAGAGTTTTTATGTTCAGAGTGTGAGTTATCTCTATTGATTAGTTGATTATCTATTTTTTTAAATTCGATATGATTACGAAGTTAGATGCAATTTTTTAAATATATTAATTAATTACTTTTTCTTTGTACTATTTCTTTATTTATTCCAAACGTTTCGATTGATAGTTCAATCTTCTTCAGTGGATAACAAAATTAATTAAATTGATTAAAATTACATTAACAAAATAAAACGAATTGAACAGACAACTTTTTTCTTTTTAAAAATATTTAAAAACTATTTAAAACTCCTGGGGTTCTTTTCCCTCTTTTTTGTAATTCGACTTGACAGTCGATAATAAAACTAAAATATGTTCAATTCGTTTTGTTTTGTTAATGTAATTATTTAATTAATATTTGTTATCCACTGAAGAAGATTGAACTATCAATCGAAACGTTTGGAATAAATAAAGAAATAGTACAAAGAAAAAGTAATTAATTAATATATTTAAAAAAGTTGATTATCTGTCTCTTGTTCCATGAGCTGAGAAAGGATAAAAATATTCTTTTCTGTTTCATTGTTACATAAGGAATATTCAGAAGTAAAAATGAACAATTCCGTTTGTTAAATACAATTCAAATTTCAAAATTGATTTCATACTCTGACCCACTCTTGAGTTGTCAGAATTTTTCTTCAGATCTTGCTCTACGATTATGCGGCATAAACATTTTAAATAGGTTGTAAAATGCCTTGAAAAGTCCGATGTGTGCTTTTCTTCTTGCTATTTAGATAAATGTAGTTTTATGTATCTTTATATCTATTTTTATTTTTGAATACATATAAATTTATTAAGGTCGTGCTGCATTAATTTCTGGTCCAAAATCTCAACCTGTTACCACAAATTCACTGTCAACAAGTCGATCTATTGCATCCAGTACAAATACTTCGTCCTCGCCAGTTTTAAGTCAGATTACCAGTAGAAGATATTCATTATCGCGAGCGATTTCTGAACAATCAAATTCAACTGAGAACAGAAAATTTACGGATAATGAGATTACCAACTATAACAATCACAATACAAGTAGAAAAACATCACTCACGGTTTACGGCGATGGATCTCAATCTCAAGCACATAAAAATTTGGGTAAGTCATTTTATCACTTGATATAGAGAATATTATTTTAATTTTAGTAAATATTTTCAGATGATTTGCCTAGTGAAACTTCATCCTCATCGAGATCAAATACAATCAAATCTCTGATACCTGCTCAAGAAGCACCGGTTAATTTACTTGAACAACCCAATATAAAAGAAAAAGCAATGGTCCAAATACTTTCTCCACAGTATGAACGAGTGAGTAAATCTTGCTAACTTTTAGAATCAAAAAAGAAATTTTTCTAAGGAAAAATTCGATAAGTAGTGGATAAAATGTGTCCTTGACATATGAATATATTTCACTCATCTTGAATAAGATGTTCATACGGATATTTTGTGCTTGTATTAGGACTAAACGCTATTGTCATTCTTGTTAAGATACCATTTCAAGACCATATTAGGATAAAATGGTCCATTATTTGATACATCAAAATTTGATTAATCATTCATTTGTAAGGACACGAGTGAGATGTAATATAAACACTTGCTCTACAATACAAACAGTAGCTATTGTAGATGAATTAACACGAAAAAAATAGCTAACGTTAGTATGAGATCTCTGGCGAGAGTTAGACAGTTTAATTCTTAATTGCACGACTTAAACAAACTACTGTATTACGAGCTACAGTTACTAAATGTAGTTTTTTAGTTTTATTAAAAAATATTGACAAAATTTGTTTCATTTATATTTGCATTTTCAGA